GGTGGCAGGGAGGTAGGCGGCACCATGCCACTTGCGATTCTTGGCGACAGGTTCCTGGGCGTTGATGACTTCCCACGTGCCTGTTGAGTAAGTGTACTTTTGAAGGCCGGTGTAGCCTGCTTCTGATGACTGGCCTCCTACAACCCATAATGCGGTTGGGGTGCCCACGCACTGGGCGCCGTCAACAGGCGTGCCAGGCTTCAGCTTTTCCCATTTCGCTCCTTGCTTCAAAGGCAAAGCCTGGAAAGCACCAGTCGAGAAGGTGTAAAGTGTGTTGCCCCATATGGTGGAGCATATGTGGTCGAGGGGAACCTCGGGCTCAGGAATCGACATTTTGTCGGTTCGAGTCGAGTCCTGGGTCGGAGGTGCGGATGTCGCTCTGAAAGTGCGAAAGAGTGTTGAGGACGAATACCTCAGTGATATCCTTATGGGCCTAGTATTGCATTGCGGGGATGACAGCAAGGACTTGATCAGGTGAAACTCTGGCGGGCCTCAGGGACGAAGCGGTCGTCGGACGTCGAGGCTTGTCGTCCGAAGGTTGGGTATGAAGTGGCTTCGCAAAAATGAGCAACAGTTGAAAGACGATGTGCCTGAAGCCAACAGGGCAGACCAGACGACCAAACGCACCAGTAGTAAGTGTCTGGTGGGTTTCTGAAGAGCACCAGCACTGATTCCGAGACCGTCAAGGCTCAGTTGATCGAGAAAAACAAAATAGGTCGAGGGCGCGCGAGACACCACACTACAGTAGTCGTACGAGGAGCGGCGTGGTCTCGGAGGATGATCGACGGAACAAGTTTCTCGTTTGAAAAAGCCCCGAGTAAGGGAGAGGGCTGGTCAGGTCGGCTGGGCTCTGGTCGTCTCCTGAACTCTGAGGGGATTGGCGTCGCAGATTTTGGTGGGATGAACGATGCTGTCAGACGACTATATGTCGGAAAGGTAAGGAGTCTGCAGGCTAGCCAGCGTTTGCTTCGTTTTTTAGGCAATGGTGTCGAGACGAGGACGTAGTTCTGGATCAAGACGAGACCAAGGGTATGTGGCGCGGTTTGTCGTCGTAGTTTTGGTGAGAGAATCGAAGGATGGTTGGCGCGAAGACGGAAGATCAAGAGCAAGTGAACAATGAATGGCTTGGGTCGACGAGATCAATCAACGTGCCAGACGATGAACAGCAGCGGCAACAATCGCGGTCGCGGTTTGACGATGTACCTCGAGTCAAGAAGAAGAGACGGAAAGACCGGCGGACAGAAAGAGAGAAGGCGGGACGGAGTCGAGCACCTGCGAAGCGAGGCCAGGCGGAGGAGGCAAGGGGCAGGCGAAGCAAGACTCCTCGCAGCACTGGCAAGACCCCCCGTCGAGCAGGCTTGGTGAGACAGCGACAAAAGTTGACAGGCCGTGGGTCGTTTACCTCCTGCCACTCAGGCACCTGCCTCCTGGAAGACCTCCACAGCCATCTTTCCACCTGCGAGGTCAAGGTTGGCACAAACGAGGAAACACGAACAGAGGCAGGGGCAGGGGACCGGGAGGCTTTGACGCAGCGCGGGCTTGGGCGAATGAGAGTTTGCAGCGGGGATCAACAGTGGGCACCTGAGGGTCCAAACCGGTGAAGCGTGCTTCGTGCGGCAGGCCCACCCCGGAGCGAGCCCTGGAAAGCCAAGGCTCTGGAAAAGGGGTGGGAGCACCTGGGGCCAATGAGCGCTGCAATGCATTTCCGTGCCTGGCATTGGCGCAACCCCGTTGGAGCTAGTCAAAACCAGGCAAGGCCCGTGTACAACAATAGCAGCAGCGCCTCGTCGAGAAACGAGAAGGCGTTCCTCTGCTCGCTGTTGTGTCTTTGGTCCAGTTCGTGTCCAAGTCCTCTGTCCACGATGGTTGGAAGGGGGGCTCGGGGCGAAGGGACTGACACTGCATCAAGTCGTGCATGCAGCAAGTAGGTAGGGAGGGATATGGTACCTCCTGGTCACACCGACCTGCCCGTCTTTCAAGTCCTCCGTCTCGTGTGTGTGCGATTGCTGTCGAGAGTACCGGCATGTCACCTCACTCAGACTCTATTTCTTTGTTCTTTACCCTCACGTTGCGTTGTGCATCACATCGAGGTGTCTGTGCTAGCAGTCTGTCGTCATTGCAATCAAACGAGCCACATCCCAAATCTCCTTCCGACAATGCCCCACCCGCGCGTCTCTTGCACGAAGGTGCTGTGTAGGAGAGCGAGGACGAGTGAGGGAGGAAGGGCGACAGTTTGGGGAGAACGTGAGATGTGGCACATGTGATTGGCTGCTGAATGAGGTCCCGTTCCTCCACTGAGCGGCTTCTCAGTGAAACACACCATCGTCCACCTGCCGCTGTGGCCCCTGAGCTAGTCTGACCAGCCCAGGCACCCTGTCGGTGCCCCCTGTCACCGATAAGCTGCTGCATATTGGGCACTCCATCTGCGTGCTTCGACCAAGTGATTTCTTCAACTTTGGTGCACTGTGGAAGCTGAACCACACCATGAAGACCTTCTCTGGTCTGTTTGCCAAACTGGTGATCTCAATTTGGCCTACAACGATGCGTCGTATCGCGCAACATCTCGCAACGCATAAATCATCTCAGCATATCATCCCTTTCACGATTTCTGGCACCTGATGAGCATCGTGCCTTCACCGCAGATACCACTTCAATTGCTTGATCGCCTCGAGAATGGCCAAAGCAACCCCCATGTAGAAGCACGCGCCTCCCTACAACTGCTGCTCGTCCCACACCCATTCCACATCGCGTGACAACCATGCCCGTTGGGCCTCAGCCACTTTGTACATGTAGCCCTCATCGCTGCCCAGCACCTGCGCGAGTCTTCCAACAGGGGGGGGATTCTTGCTCTTCAACGACATGTAGGTATCTGGGTCATGGTGGGCCATCGAAAGCTCGCGTCTTGCCTCAAGTGCACTGATTCCTTCCCCTTCAGCATGTGCCTGACCCTTTTCGGTCCATCCTTGGGCTAGGAGACCTTGCACCTCGTGCATCGTTCGCTGCGTCCGAGGAGCCCTGCAACGCCTGTTCTTTTCGGGAGTCCGCTCCGACGACCATGGCCCGGACAGCAGGACGAAAGAAGGAGGGGCGTCCAATACTTACGGCGTGGCTACCCGCTCGCTCCCTCGTCTCCGAGTTCCAGCCTCACCGTAGGCCACTCCCATCGTCTCCCCCCCCGGCCCCCAGTGTTAGTCAGTGCACAACTTGTCAAAGGGCTGCCACGCCATGTCAGCACGCCAGCCCACGTTATCAAAGAGTTCGCCTCAGGGTCCCCTCGTCCGTGGGGCAATATTTGTTCCCCCGAAAAGTATGACCGTGGCAGGAGGACCGAGCATTGCGCCCGAAAAGAGAGAAAAGAAATTGTCTTTGCTGCTTGGCACTGAGGCAGCAGGCCTCGAATTCGAGTGGCTTCCCATTGTTCTGCGACGGATGGACGGCCTGTCCACCTCATCGTGCGTTGTTCACGTTGAGTGCAAGATGACGTCTGGATCATTTCGATGATGGAGTTCCATGTCGATCTAGATCTCCTTGTCATGCTCGACTCGCGCAAACTCATGGGAACACGCCTTCGTGATACGTGACACCTTCGTCGTCTCGATGCTCCATCCGGGGCAATTGAAGATCGGGGTATCCCAGCGGTGAGGATGAGACGCCCAGGTTGGGAGCAGTTGTCTGGTTGCATAAATCATCCCCGCACTGCGCCTCGATCTATGCGGCCTGCTGGTTGAGGCTATCCGAGAAATCCGCTGCTGCGTTTCCAGTTGCTGAATGGTCTATCGTGTTGTGGTGATAACTGAAAAACATCAATGCGTCCCAAGCCCATAGTGTTTTGTCAGCACACCATTCATGTGTCCCCTTGATGCCCAAATTCGGCCCCAGTACACATAATGATCACCGCCTGCCTTGGAATAGAGCTTTGAAATACATCAGAGTAGATACTAGCTCAGTACATGATCGAGGGCGGGTACGTATTTGAAACATAAGGTACCTAGGGTAGGTAACGTAAAGGCATTTAGATGTACAGTTTGCTCTGTCCCTCAATTCAATTGGCGACATGTATTTTCTACCACTCAGCTATCGATTATGGGAAGTACTGTGGCCCAATTTGGGCACTCAAGGGATGGACCATTGTGGCGTTGCTAGCAACCAATGTGCCAGCCAAAGTCGCAATCGCAATCGCAAAACCATCAAATCGATCGCGCCTTTCATGACTTGCATCGCAGCTGACGCACCCTCCCCGCCCACCTGCCTACTCCCGCACAGTCTCACTGGGCGTGTTCTCCCCACCATAACCCAACCACACACCCAACCACAGAAAACCCGCGCGTCTCAAATCTCTATCGCCCCGAAGATCGACTTCTCAGTCCCCATTGGTGGGACTGTGCAATCGTTAACCTTTTTATCAGACCCAAGTGCCGGCCACCTTGCAGTGATTCCATGAATGTGGCTGCTGAAGAATCTTGGCCAATCTGTCGTTGCGTAGCCGCCGGAGTATGTTTCCGCGTGGACATCACAGCGCCAACAGCTCGACGTCACATTACCCGCCGCACTGGGGATCTTGGGCATATGCATGTCACGCAGCGAATCATGCACATTGGGTGTTTTCTGGTTGAACGATCGAGACGCCGCTCTCAATGTATTTAGGTATTTGATGTACACGCAACCACCAACAGCAAGCCTCCGATCTCCCTTCCCATGACCATGGCCTCCTGCACCGGAGGATCGTTGTGTATATAATATTCATGTCCATAACTATTCACATGTCCCGCAGCAGCGGGAACGTTACAGCATGCGAGTCGTGGAGTTGTTCGTCTGTGTTCATTCCCTTCAAAGGATGCCTGTCTTATCCGTCCTCCGATCGTTTGGTTGAACTGAAACTCTTCCGTTCGATAAATAGCCTCATCCGCAACCACCCGGTCCTGGGCTGGGTTCGGTTTTCAAGGTCGTCTCTGATATAACGAGCGTACTAGCTCATGACTATGCCCTCAGGTGTGATGTTCCTACACCACAGCGAAAGCCTCGGCAGGAAGCTGTGCCTGATAAGAGCAATGATATTAGCGCTTCGTTCTGGTGACAATGATGTGTGGGGAAACGCTTACCTTCTTCTCATTGAACACGGCCAGTGCGCGATCGAAGTCCCAGGCAGTGTCGTTGAGACACATTTCCGAGTAGACGGGTGTCATTGAGGTTTGCTTGCATAGCTCCAGGATCTTCGCTTGACGGAGCTCTTGCTCTTGGGCCGGAACGCGCGGCGGCGCGGCGGCGGAGGTAGCAGCAGCAGCGACGAACACATTTGGCAAGGCATTCCAGGCTCGCAAAGACAACATGTCACTGACAACGCGAATGGGGTTGTTGCCTGGACGCCCAGGACCGAGAACAAAGCTTCGCGAGAAGCTGCGGAGGCCTGGCTGATTGGACGCCTTGTCCATTTCTTCAAACTGCCCATGGACAGAGAGCACCATACCATCTAGAGAAGCACCCGTCTGGCCTGTCGGGTCACCCAGGCCCGGAAGAAGATGGCAATCCATAATGTACTTGGTAGTATCAGCTTTGATGTCGGGGTGCTTTGTAGATGGCAGCTCGTTCCAAGTCTTGAGAATTATCTCACGACCGCTGAGAAGACGCGTTTCTCGCGCGGCAGTGGTCGTGATCCTGGTCAGATTCCTCGACTTAGGAATGTATGCTGACCAGGACATTGGCTGCGGCGCGTCCTTGTCGCGGATTGAGTTCGTATCCACGGCGAGAGAAAATTGACTGTCGTCGTCGTAGTACTTTGCCAGTAGACCAAGGCGATCTGTGTCGAATCCCACGAAAAACTCCAACAGAAAGCTCTCGCCAATCCCGTTAGCGTCGCGGAAATCGGGGCCGTGTTGAGGAATAGGGCGTGGTCTCGTAAACTTTTGCAACTCGGCAAGGTGTTCAGGTGTGAATTGCTGTCCGTTGATGTTGGTGAGCTTGGGGAAGAACTTCAGCAACGCTGCTTGGACCTTGAGATCGGCAATGTCGATAGGGTTGTCGGTTATGTAGAGCGTATCCAACTTGCGAAGCCTGCCCTTCCATGGCATGAGACCAGACAGAGTAGCAATTTTGTTACCGCTGAGGTCGAGGTTGAGGAGGTCTGGGAATGTCTCTGCAATGTCCTCGACTTGGGCGACACCGTCGAGGCCATTATTTGCGAGACTGATGCTGTGGATGTTGTCCATCTTGTCCTTGGGCGTCTTGAAGAGGTCGTCACAGATTTTCATCATGACCTTCACGAGCTTTTCAGCTCGATCCTTGGACTCAAGAACGCCCATTTCAACGAGCTGCTGGTCTTGGTTCAAGGCGTCAAGCTTCAAGAGTTTGTTCTCAGTTAGGTAACGCTGTGACATGATGTTGGTAAGTTTAGACTTGAGGTCCTGTGCTGCTGCTGAGGCTTCGGTGGCTTTAGCGAGAGAGCCGCCCGAGTCGGTGATTTCGAGCTTGGCACCGGCAAACACGAAGCCGTTCACCTTAATAAACTCTTCGGCGTTCTCCTTGGTGGCGGCGATCTGGACGATGTCACTCACGAGTTTGTGCTACTGATCATTAGCAAGATGCTTCCCCGTATAACGGCGTGGACCGCGAGGGGAAAGATTCGGGCATAAGCAGCCGGTATGGACGAGGGCTGTTGTCTCGTGCGTCGCGGCGAACGTGGCGTTTTGACGAGGTCCAGCTGGACCATTCGGCATCCCTATGTGCTTCCCTTCAGTGTTTCGATATCTCAACATACCTTCAAGACCATGACACCCTTGGTCCTCTGACCAGCGCTCTGCGCCTTGCGCTCTATGAACGAGATGAGGTCTCTGATTCCACCATCCCTGTTCCTCGAAGCCTTGCTCTCCTTCAACCCCTTGACATCTAGCCAAACGAGTGGACCGGATTGTGCTTTCTTCTTGGTGATCAGGTCCGCGCCCTCGCCATCAAGATGGCGGGCGATAGCCTGGTGGTTTCGTGCCGAGCTTTTAGCAGGGGCAGCATTTGTTCGGGCGCCCCGTTGAGGGCGAGCGGCGGTCGGTTCGTTCCGGGCAGGTCTGCCAGCACGGCGAGCCGCAGCAGAGTCCATATCAAGATCACCGTCCTGATCAACCCGTCCTGCCCGTCCACGCTTCTGGATACCGCCCCGAGACGGTCCCTTAGGAGCAGAGGCTGGAGCCCGGTTTGACCGAGGGGGCGCCATTGCGAGTGTGGTGAAGTGAAAGTGGTAGGCGCAACGGCGTTTCGGTCAAGAGCCGCGAGTCGGCATGCACAGCGGGGTGGAACGTTCTTTTTTTTTTCAGGTTCTTCCGTGAAGCGGGCTTCAGACTTGGCGGCTGTAAGACCAATCTGGCGAGTAATGTATTGGTGCTGCGTGGTTCTTCCGAGGAAGACGGTGGTAATGGATATTCGCTGGAAGACGATTGGAAGGATCAATCGTCAAAGATCAAGCCCGATCGATGCAAGCAGACAGTCGTCAGTTGGCAATTGCGCCACAGGTTCGTGACGAAATTCGTTTCGCGTGTGAGTAGTCGCAGGTTGTTTCGTTTCCTTCGTGGGGTGAGGTGAATAGCCCCTTTGTCCGGACAAAACCAGCGATGTATGTGTGTGTCTTTTGTGTTAACAAGAGTTTCGCGGGTGACGGGTTGGTCAAGGTTCTTGAAGAAATCCTGGGCAGGCATGACGCTTTGGGTTTCTGCACATGCTGCTACCTACCTACGTAAGTTACCTTAGGCAGGTCGTGGGGCACGCGACACACCAATCAGAGTCTGAGAAAGCCAAGTGAAAGGAACTGCCTAGAGTAACCCAGTCAGTTTCGATCCCTGGAGGCTAAGGCTGACTCATTGACAATGGGATCTTGGTCATGTGATTCGGAGGCTGTTTCGCGTCGAACATTGGCAGGGGTCGCGTCAAGAGTGGCCACTGTAAAGACGAGCGACGTGAACCATATGACCATGTGACAGCATGCTGGCCACCTGGAGTCGCTAATGTTCAATTGCACATATGGCCCACTGAAACATATTTCTCGCGGTTCACTTACCACCATCGTTAGGTGTCGGATTCCGCCGCGGAAGGCTCACGCCGCGTATCCTCATAACGCGCTCCCATCTGTTTCGCAATGGATTCTGACGACTATGATGACGACATTGCTGATGAGGATCTGGCAGAGGCTTTCAGCCAGAGCGACAGGGCAGTTGGGTCCAGCGCACCTCGAGCAAACTCCAATACAATAAGCCATTCGAGGTCTTTGCCAACCACTCACCCTTCAACTATCAACGTAAGCATATACCGTGCTGTTCTCAGCATTCTGTTTGAAATGTTCATACTAAAGCACACGTAGACAGCTCGTGCACCAGACTACCAGGATGTCATGAAAGCCGGCGAGATGGATGAGCTCCTCGCAGCTGCATTCTCATCATCGCCGGAACTGGACCCGGTCGTCGCAGCACCGCCCAGAGCACCGCGGCAACCCTTTGGACGGACATCATCGAACGGCTTTCGTCAGACGACCCTCTTTGGTGGCACTGTCAATGACGAAGAAGATGCTGATTCCAGGCCCATCCAGCCTGGTTTCGGAAGGGTATATCGTGCAGATAAGCCTGTCGAAGCTACTCATCACGAACTAAACAACGAAGCTCTCAAGACATGGGTCTATCCCAAGAACCTCGGCGCTGTCCGAGACTATCAGTACAGCATTGTGAAGAATGGACTATTTAACAACACTCTGGTAGCCTTGCCAACTGGTCTCGGGAAGACCTTCATCGCCGCCACGGTCATGCTCAACTTTCACCGCTGGACCAAGACAGCCAAAATTGTTTTCGTCGCGCCGACCAAGCCGCTTGTCGCGCAACAGGTCGATGCCTGCTTCAAAATTGTCGGTATATCTCGATCGGAGACTACCATGCTCACGGGTGACGTTGCTCCAGCTACTCGCGTTGATGAATGGCAAGCCAAGCGCGTCTTTTTCATGACGCCGCAAACGTTACTCAACGACATCTCTAGAGGCTACGCCGATCCAAAGTCTATTGTACTTTTAGTGGTTGACGAGGCTCATCGCTCGACAGGAGAGTATGCATACGCCAAGGTGGTCAAGCAGATGCGGCGCTTTAACCCCTATTTCAGGGTGCTGGCTTTGACAGCCACGCCAGGCTCCAAGGTCGAGACGGTGCAAGAGGTCATTGACAACCTGGGCATATCGCACACTGAGATTCGCACAGAAGACTCCATCGACATTCGCCAGTATGTCCATCAGCGGAATATTGATCAACGCATCATTGACCCATCGTACGAGATGTGCGAGATCAAAGATCTCTTCACGAAAGCCCTGAAGCCGATGATGGACAAATTGACGAAGCAAAACATTTACTACGGCCGAGACCCCATGGCCATCACCACCTTTGGGCTTATGAAGCAAGAACAAGACTGGATGAAGAGCGCGGGGCGGCATGTGCCTCAACCACTTCAGCACATGATGCGGGCCATCTTCGCCATTCTGAAATCGCTGGCACATTCGATCAAGCTTCTCAACTTCCACGGCATCAAACCGTTCTTCGACAATCTCAAAGACTTCAGGAGCGATGTGGAGGAGAAGGGGCAGAAGGGCTCCAAATACAAGAAACAGCTCGTCGCGGACCCCAGCTTTCAGGACATGATGCAAAAGATCGAGGGGTGGCTTCGCATACCCAGCTTTGTCGGCCACCCAAAGCTGGCCGAGTTGGCCGAAACGATGCTGAATCACTTCATGGACGCCAAGGAGGGTTCAGCCACCCGCGCCATTGTCTTTAGCGAATACAGAGACAGCGCCGAGGAGATCGTACGAGCGCTGAGCATCCACAAGCCGCTCATCAAGCCGACTGTCTTCGTCGGCCAAGCCGAGGGAAAGAGGTCAGCTGGCATGAAACAAGCTCAACAGATCGCAACTGTCGAAAAGTTCAGGACGGGCGAGTACAATGTTCTTGTTGCCACGTCCATCGGCGAGGAGGGTCTGGACATTGGTCAAGTCGACTTGATCGTGTGCTATGACGCCTCTTCGTCCCCAATCCGTATGTTGCAGCGGATGGGCCGGACAGGTCGCAAGCGAGAGGGCAACGTCGTCCTACTCCTCATGCGAGGCAAGGAAGAAGAGAGCTTCAGCCGAGCGAGAGAAAACTACGAAGCGATGCAGGCCCTGATTTGCGAGGGTAGTAAGTTCAACTTTCGCCACGATCTATCGGCACGTATCGTTCCGAGGGAGATTCGACCCGAGGTCGACATGCAACAGATCGAGATTCCAATCGAGAACACCCAGAACACAGCACTTCCTGAACCGGGGAGACGAAAGGCGGGGGCCGCGAAGAAGAAGATGCCACCCAAAAAGTTCCACATGCCGGACGGCGTGGAGACGGGTTTCGTCACGGCTTCGCGCGTAGGATTATTGGATGGATCTGTGTCGAAGGGCCCCAAGAAGAAGACGCCGAAGAAGGCTACGCCAGCAGCGCCGTGTGAGCTCGATCAGTTGGCAGAAGTACCCCCACTTGACTCTGTGCTGCTCAACACGCGCCAGATGGCGGAGCTGGATCGAAATTATCGGACTCTGCCTTTCAACCGGAGCAAGGTAGAGGAGATTGAGGTTGTCGACATCAATGCCCATCCAGCACTCAATCGACGTCTCAGGCCCGTCGGCAAGGTACAACATGGCACGCGGACAAAGAAGTACGTCGAGCTTATGCAGACCTGGACCAAGAAGTACAAAGATCCGGCAAAGAAATGGCACAAGCCGTATGGAGACCAGGACACCAGCAGATGGGAAGATATCCCGTTCCCGCCATTTGCGCCTGACACCGATGATGAGCGGCCACCAAAAGTCACCAAAAAAAGGCAGTCTGATTTCCTCGGGCTCAACGATGATGGGCCTGATAAAGCACCACGGGCGAAGAAACGCAAGTCAAATGGGCCAGCAACAAAGGCTCCCCTTCACATCTTGTCTGATGCGGAGGAAGGAGACGACTCGGAGAATACAGTTTGCGAGGCACCTCAGCGCGGTCGGCCGAAGAAAGCTGCAGCGCCAAAAGCGCGAGGGAGGAAGCCGAAGAAGCGAGCGCCTCAAAAGAGAGGCGGCATCAATAGTGATGAGCTGGGAGACGACTGTGACCGAGATAGCGACATGGATGACACGGATGGATCTGATGATGGGGCCGATTTGCTCGACTTTGTGGTCGGGGACGATCATCCCATCTCGAGCCTCAGAGACGTGTCGGATGACCTGCCGTCGAGTGTTACGTCAACTCCAGTTCCAACAAGGACGAAACTGAAGCCCTTTTTCGAGCCCCTGTCTTTGCCAGCTACCCAGGAGTCAATAGACGACCTGCCTGACCTTAGCGTAGTGACGGCAAGGACAAGCCTGGCCACCAAGACGGCAAGGCTAGGCAAGGCTACGGTTGTTGATGATTCGGACGCGTCTGAGAACATGAACGACTTAGGGAACAAATTTGACGAGGCTCATGACGACGATCTTCAGCCTCGCGGGCAGCGCAGTCGGCACAATCGCCGGCGGACCGTTATTGATGAGAGTGACGAGGACGACTACTAGTGTCAAGACAAGGCGCCGGGGATCATGCGGACTAGGCCGGGGTGTTTTTTTCTAGCGTGGCGATGCTGGAAAGCTCATGTGTCCAGAAAGACGCATAGATAGATAGATACCCTTGCTGTTCGGCGGACGGACAAGCCCCAAACTCACAGAAATCAATTCACGTGAGCCGGTGTAGGAAGACAATGATACGGTTGAACTGGTATATGTTTTCTGTGCATGTTGTGTTATTGTGTTTGTATTAGTTGTTAAGCTACACGTCATTATCACGTCCCCGTCTCTCCAACCCAACAAACAACCAAAAACACAGCAAACCAGTCCCCCGTCACCAACAGCCAAGTTGGACTACTGCGAAAGTTAGCCGCCAGCTCATGGCAACAGAACGACAGAAACACTCCGCGGTGATTGGAAAAAGCCACATCAGAAACCCGATTATAAGCACAACTGACCCCACCGCCCCCACCGCCCATCACAACCCCCCAGCCGAGGGCGGCAGACCTACCACGGAGACAATTCGCATGCGACGGTGCCAAATCTCCGCGAGTCTTGCCCATCCCCAAGCCGGGCGAGCGCGACAGCGTCAGCGGGAGCTAAGCCGAGGGACCGTTTGCACTCCACGCGCCGCGCACCCCTCGGTGACCCCATCCTCCGAAGAGGCTGGGAGCGAGGGAGAGACAGCGGCACGAGAGGAGAGCGGCCCGGGGCGTCTCAGACGGCTCTTCCTATGATTTTGAGGGGGTTGATGCGAATCTCATCATGTAGGCCATTGTTTTGTTTTGTTTACTCCTCCTGTTTGGGAGGGACAGGGGGGAAAAGCAGTAGGAAGAATGAAATCAGATAGAGAAAAGGGGCTTACCTGTTTGGGGGCGGCCAGACGGGGCTCCTCGCTGGCGAAAGGAAGCGAGAAGCCGCTGGCGAGGCGAGGTGTGGTTTTCGGTCTTTGGCAGAGTTGTGACGGTGATGAGTGTGAAGGGGGGAAAGAGTAGGAAATTGCTGCAGCTCAGGTTTTTCTCCCTGATGCAATTGTGGAGTGGAAGCTGCCAGCTGGCGGGCGGCCTCATGCAGCTGCCCCTCACAATCCATCCATGCACGTTCATCCATGCAAGGCGAAAACGGACAACCGTGTGTCACTTCACGCAAGTCATCTTGGTCGGAAGAAGGTCTATCTAATTCTGTTGTATTGTGCTACCTAAGTTTTTTTTTTTGGTGGAATTCTGAGTTTCTGTTATCCTCCTTACCACGTCAAATCTTAGGTTCGGGGGCTTCCCTTCCCATACGACCTCCGCGAGGCATCGACTCGCCTCTCATCGGTCAGCCGGCCGTGCTCGACCAAAGCGCATGCTCTTCTCAATACCTTTACTGTAACGCATAGCACGGGTTCAATGCACAGCAACACAAGAAGCAGCAGGATGGCACTTTGATGGGGGGTCAAGTGAGAGGGTCTGCATTCTCTGTGGCTTCGTGCCATTACCAGATCCCAAGAGCCATTTCAAGGCACAGCAAATCGACCAAATCCTTCCAAGCTATCGACAAATATCCAGACAGGGGGAAGCAACATGTCCGACGTCCTGTTGACTGATTGGTTGGCTCGCTCTGACTCTCCGGTCCCCCTTCTCTCGCCATCTTGCCACATTGGGCTATCTCCTCGAGCAACTGGTTTTCTTGAGCTGAGACATCGTCAAAGAAAGAGGTCAAATGGAGAAGAGTGTAAATATACAGCAAGCCAAGGAAACAAAAGCAAAACACTCCTTGTGCGTTTGACACCATTGTCAAACAAGTCTTCATCGTAACATCATGAGCCAAATCGAAAGTCATCGTATCGGCAATCTCTGGAGAGAACGTAAAAGAAACACGCCATCCCATACCAACCAGTCCGTGAAGTATCACAACACGACTCTACTGCTGGTGCTGGGGCTGCTGGGAGTAGGTGTGGTAGTCCATGCTGGACCAGTCCATGCCGTTCCCAAAGAAGTCCTGGGAGGCGCCCTGAGACAAGCCGAGGCCGCTGCTGGGCATCTCGCTGCCAAAGAGAGTCTGGAACTGTGCGTCCTTGTCGAGCCCGTTGACGGGGAACAAGGTGAAATCGTCACCACAACCGCCAAAATCATCAAAGCCTTCGTCGACCTCGGCCAACGAGTTGGGCGTGAAGAGCATGGCATTCCCTTGACCTATCGGGGAGATGTGTGGGGCGAGCTGTTCGGGCATCATCTGAGGTTCGCAAGCAGACACTGGGACGTAGTTCTGCATGCCGGCCATCATCTTTTCAGGCCACGTGGGCGTCGGGATCTGGACATGGGCGCCGTAAATGTCATCGTTGTTGATGACAAACTCGGGTCCATCCTGGTAGGAGGTGTATGGGTAGGATGTGTCGGTAGAAGGGGTGTTGTAGTCAGTGGGAGACACGCCGAGGTCGTTGAAGTCGATACCCTCGAGCGTCATGGGCGGCTGTCCCATGGGTCCGAGGCAGGTGTCAGCAAACTCCTCGGCCGGGACGTAGTGAGGGAAGTCGTCGTGGTTGAAAGGCGGGAAGAGGCTGGTGCTCTCCTCGGGCGGCGTAGCAATGCTGTGGCTGCTCGAGGGCGTTGCCATGTTGCCGAGCTGAGGGGTCGGCTGTGCCGAGCTTCCAGCAACGCTGGGCGCCTTCTTGCCGCCGTTGGTCTTGGTGCGGACGTACTGCCATCCGTGGGCCTTCTCCATGTGCTGCTTGCAGTTTGACTCGCGCTTCGACTTGTAAGGGCAAGGCTTGAATAGGCACTCGTGCATGGGGGGCGCTGAGGAGTGCTTGTCGTTGTGATGGCGGTCCATCTCCTTCTCGGTGGGCCAGCCATACTCGTGGTACTTGCAGGTCTTGACGGGGCACTTCCAGGGACGAGAATGGGTCTTCTCGTGCTTGGTCAGGTCACAGGGACGCTTGAACTCCTTGTTGCAGCCAGGCTCACGGCATTTCTTGGGAGCGAGCTCCTCCGGCGTAGCGTTCTTCTTCCTACGAGCCATGGACCGCATGATCTCTTCGTCGTCCGCCAGCTGCTGGCTCAGGGAGCGCTTCAGTCTGGGGAAATCCTTGCCGTCCTCATCCATGTCAACGGGGAGGCCGGTGGCCATGGAGATGGCTTGACCGTCCTTCCTGACGCGGACAAGCTCGGCGGGGCGGCCGTTCTGCGAGATGCCACCGAACAGCTTGACCTCGTCGGTGGGGTCGACGTCCATCTCACGCCCCTCCACTCCGGCTTCCTTGGCAGTGGCAAGTTGTCCGGCGTATTGGCGAATCTGTTCGACGAGATCGATGAAGTATCCGTTAGTGTATGGTCGGTCGGCCGGTCGAGTTTGTTCGCGGTCGCTGAGATATTCGACGGTGGCTTGAATGCATCGAATAGACGTCAGGCAGAAATCGAGGTACAAGGCGGCGGTCTTGGCCCTCTCCTTCATCAACGACCGATAAGTATCTCCCCAAACGCTGCGTTGATACAAGAGTTGACTTACCGGTGCCATGAAGATCAAAGTCTTCTCAAGATCCCTGAGGCAGATGATTTCCTTGTCACGAATGCGCCTGGGAATGTCCAGGACGATGGGCTCAAAGTCCTTCAGCTCGGGCTTGGCACGAAGGGGGCGAAGAACGTGTTCGTGAACACGGCTGACCGCCTTGGAGCTCAGACCAGAGACCTTGGTCATGGTGTTGGACGGAGCGGCAGCCGAGCGCGTAATGGCGGATGCCTTGCTGGTCTTGGAGGTGATGCTGGGGGCTTGCTTCTCGACGGAAGAGGCCAGAGAGGTGCCGAGACCGCTGTCTGAAGCGTGCTGCTCCGATGAGCGACGATGTCTTGGGCGCAGGACGCGGCGCTCCCCACTGGTCTTGGTGTCTTTTGCCATGGCGGGGTCGACAGTAGGGCGGCCGAGGAAGCCGTTTGTGCGAGGCAGGCACTCGTCACGCGAAGGCTTGGAGGCGGGCCTTGGGGTATCATTCAGATTGAGTGATGTCTCGATACCGCTGACGATCATCTCCATGCGGCGGACGTGGGCGCCGACAACGTCTTCAAGGTTGGTCTGCGACCGACCAAGAGCTGGGGGGATGAAGGCGTCGATGGATGAAGAGTCGAGAGAGGTGGGCGAGTGGAAGGTGGCACCCTTGCGCAGGGTCATGTTGGTCTTAAGGCTGGTGAGGCCATTGCTGGAAGCGTCGCCGACGCGGGTCACAGGGGACCGGCGGCGAGGGTTCTGGCACGACATGACGAAAGTGTCGGAAGGGGGAGTGGGTACTGGCGGGCGATGGCCAGCTCTGGTATCACCACCAGGGTTAGTCAAGGGACTGGAAGGGGCTACCGGCGAGTGAGGCGAAGGAAGGTGTCGGGAAGTGAGTCACTGCCTGAGAAGTCTGGGGAACCCACGCGCCGGATGGGTGCGTGCGGTAGTCCTAGACTTGGCAGAGAGGGTAGAGAGTGTATTGGTGGATGAAGGAGTGAGGAACGGGAGAGTTCGGCGAGGGCGGCGACAGACGTGGGGGAACGGGTTGAGGGGCGAGGCAGAGAGGAAGAGGAGGAGGGGAGGAAGAGGAGAAGGGGCGAGCGTCACTCACGGTCGATTCGCAGACGTGATCGAACGGCGAGGCACTCGACAGCAAGGGCGTCGTCGATGTTGATGGACAGCCGGGGAAAGTGCACGATTGGAAGAGAGAGGATGGAGAGAGACGCGAGAAGGCGGATATATGTCGATGCCAAAATGGTGTGCCTGGAGGGCGGGGAGGGGCCAGAGGAGGACTTGCCCAGGAGCAAAGGAGCAACAGCCAGCGACAAGTGGGAAAATGGCGCCCGAAGTTGCGCCTTTGCTACCTAGTTTGCGTTGAGTTGCGTGACGTGCTGGCTGGCGTAAGACGCGCTGGCGAAAAGCGAAGATGCGGATGGAAGTGGGCGGAATGAATGGAGGATATGATGCTCTGCGATGCTGCGCGATGCTCGAGTCGACAAGACAAGGGGGGGCGGGTGCAATCACGGATAAAGATGTTCTTGAGGACGACGTGTCTCTTCACGCTCTTTCAGTTGCTGGGTGATGGTAGCAGAGAAGAAACAAGTTGTCCTGACGGGGTTTGCGGAAGTAGGCGGAGTGAGGAAGAAGCGAGAAACCAGGGACGAACAAGAAGATCTCGGGGTTCAGGTCGAGGGACGTTGGGGGTTGGAATTGGGCCGAAGGGGGGGGGGGGGGGAGGCAGACGAGGTGAGGTCGTTTGCTTAGAAAAGCATCCGGTCGTGGCAGACTGAGGACGCCGGAATTGATGGGAGGGGGGAGGCTGCTGCCTAAACCAGGCCCCACCCAATCCAATCAGAGGCAGACCCTGCAGGCCAGGGAGGCGGAGCGTGCTCAGAGGATCAGACACTAATGATCCGCTCGGGGGGGGGGGACGCTTCAGTGCCCTTGGTACCATACATGGTACAGCGAAAGTAGCCTCTGGTAGGGGAGTGGAGGAGCATCAGTCAGCCCATCAAGTGGATGCCCCCTGGATCTTCCTGTTAGTCTGGCCGGCTGTCAACACCGCAGCGTCCCTAACAGCGGGCTATCGATGTCATCTGCTGGGCACCGCCCCCAACGGCTGGGTGCAAGCTCCGGCGACGAGTAATGCGCCTCGCTCCTCGAGCCACTGAGCGCCTGTTCCTGGTGACAACGCTTGGCCGTCCCTTTACCGACGCTCTTTTTGGGTCAAGTCTCTTTTTTCCTTCGTCCCGCGTCAACCCACTCCCCATTCAATTCATCCGCCATCCGATGTCCTGATGCAGGACATGCGCACGGCGGTGGCCATCAAGAGAAACCGAGAGACACAGGGACAGAGCATAAATCCATCTGTTTCGGCGGTGGCCAGCTATGAAGGAACCACCACGTCCTCGTCATGCTCACACGAAACATGCACCACCAGAACGCCAGGAGAATGGTTCAGATGTGCACCATTCGACAGCGGTGACATTGAACCTATCACCGACGCCCGCTTCCACCGGGCCCACGGTCCAATCCACAGGACCAAATGACCCCTGCGTAGGTACTCCGACGGAGGCCAACGGTCAGCCCTGCCAACAAACCATCCCCAAGTCGCCTGCCCCTGGAGCATTCGCTTGACATACACTGCCTTCGAAGTCAGCTCATTCTCGACCTGCTATTCGGTCCCTCGAGTCCTGCGGTCCTAGAGTCCTGCGGTCCTGCATGGCCGCGCCCTCGTTCTGCAAGTTTCGCCGGCTGGACAGTCTCCGACGAAGCTGTCCATGGTTGCTGGCGACTAGGCGAGATTGAATCGTTGGGCGAATACGCTCTGGTTATTCGTCACAATCCCCCATCACTCACCCATGCGCCACCGCAGGTTCAACATCCACCACAGGAGAACATACATGCACACTATTGCTCCACGTTCCTCATCCTAGTCTGAGGCCAAACTGGCCGGATGACACCGTTCTCTCCAACCCTGCCGGGGGCGAGGCCACCCCTCCAAAACAAGGACTGGAGCTCCCATGCAGGTTCATGCTGGTATTGATTTGCTTGCTTGCCAATTGTTCTCGTCAGTCACCCAGTCGCGGCACTCAACAGTCCCGCCGGGTGGGGCCCGATCTTGCACAGAACGCCCAGGGCCACACTGCTGTCCGCGGCATCACCTCGATGAGACATGGTGTTCTTGCTGGCCACCAAATATGAGTCGCTGGTTCACTTACTGATGCAGTTTCTAGTGGTTGATTGTGAGGTTGTGAGGTTGTCCTACCCCCCACTCGCACGCTGCTGCGCTCCACGCATAGGGCTGCCAAGACTATGGAGATACGTGGAAGACCTAGGAACTATGGACCAGGGTTTGGGGCCAGCTGCTCGTCACCTGCCAAGTCGCTGCGTGAGAGGATCATACTGAAGAAGCCTTGCCCATGTTGATCGATGTATGGCTCACAGGTTGACAGAGCGAGTTCGAGGAGGGTCTACGAAGCCCCCAAAGGCCAGTGAACGAAAACGACAGACGACACGTATGCGCCCGCACTCCGTCTTGCTTTGTTTGCTTTCTCTTCAGCTGGGCTCGTCAACCCCTGTCAGCCCTACGACCACCTTGTGACGAATCAACTCAGCGGAAATCGGGCAGCCTGCCAGGAACTCCGCTCGCCGTCGATCAGGCCAAATCGCTCGGTCGCCAAACAAAACGCCTCGCAGCAATTGCAAGCGTAAATGCTGCAGTAGTGTAACCCCAAGGCACCAACATTTTCACTGACCTTGGCGGACACGTATGTCCCTACGCGGTCTGCGCCAAATTGACCCCCGTCACATCAGTAGATCACCTGGCCCCTCCACATCCGTCACCGAGTCCGAACCATGCCGATACGACCGGGCCTCCCAACCGGTGCTGGCCCTCAACTCGCAAACAGTTCGCTGTGCTTTCATCCATGTTCAATCGTACAGCTCACAGCGCTATCCATGACGTCCTCCTGACCGTAATGTCCTGCTTATACGGTACAAATGTCCTCTGGTCCGGCCCAACGAAGACCGGCGAGAAAGGTTCATCCGCTGAAGAGAGCAACCGCCCCCACTCTCCTGGGCCCATTCAGGTTTCTGGGCCAGCTTTCATCCACAGGAGCTCTACCTCATCCAGGAACCGGGACAGAGTCATCCCCGACTCCATCCCGATATCTCCCTGTAGTGTCTGCATTTGGCTATTGATGTGCAGTCTTCCAGGTCTTGTGGCCGCCTCCTGTGCGCGTGCTATGTTATCGCCCCGGGCCTGGAGCTTGGGCGACCTAGTCTGCGTGTGTTGATCCGTCTGGCCATATGTCGGCCTGTCTAGTATTGGCTGTATGCTTGCGCGCGATGTTTGATTCCGGCCAGGTTGTCGACGAGTTCCGTCAGACTCGCGACAATCAGCACTTGGTTCGTCGGGTGCGTTTAGCTCGAGCGATTTCGCAGTCGGCGATTTCTGGCTGTGCGGTAATTGGCCGGTCGAATAACTACTTTGAGAGCCATCAACGGGCGATGATCGGCTGGACGGCGTCTGGCTAGACCAGATGGCCGCCGCTGGCGAGCAATTCCGGATCGTCAACGTCGTCCTGGTCAACTCCAGGGACTCAAACAAGCTGTCCGTGCCTGCTTGAGCGAATAGCCATCCCGAGAGTGTGAGGCTTGACCTACCATGTTCTGTGGTCAAGAACCTGCTCCTTGAGGAGCCTTTCCGAGTCTGATTCTCCAGCACCAATTGTCTCTTCTGAGCTGTGGCGGTTTCCGACATTATCCACGAGTGCAGTCCAACATTTGGAGCACTTTGCATCCCATACTTCGTAGTCAATCTGAGGCAGGTTGCCGCATATCAAGTATCGCACCTTGGACAAAAGAAGGTAGCGGATCATATTAGTCTTCGTCTTGAAGTCGGCGCATTCGTACAGCCAACATTCGTGATGCTTGCATCTGCGAAAAATGTAGGTTCGTCTCAGGCACATTTTTCAGCTGTTGTTCAGACTGAAGCGAAAGAGGAGTCAACCTACCTTAGCCATGTATCATTACAGGATCGTAAATATTTGAGTGGTTTTCTGACTGGCTCAAAGGCGGCAGTAACGTGTCAGAACAAAATTCTCTTGGTTTCTGATCCAGCTTCTTCTGCAGGCAGATTGAACATGGCCAGAGAAATATGACTACAATGACCCATGTTGTCTTTGTTCGCTCCGGAGAAGAGGCTGCTGCTACATGCATGCCACTCTGGCCTGCAAGAGGTCAAAGAAAGTCCATCATCTTAGGCTTTTGAACAAGATATTCAGCCACTCACTGAAATGATGCATCTCAGGTGTCTGTTTGGCTTAACCGTAGGTCTTGAACTGTCTGTTCTACGCCTGGCATATCAAGTGTGCCACGCGCAGGATGAGCGGTATTGCAGACGGACACATCCGCACTGCCACCTCTCCCTGGAAACGGTCAGGTGTTGTTAGGCTGGTGAGATGGCCAACGGATAGCTCATCACGTTTTATCGGATAAACGCACCAAGGACAGCCTGGACGGCCTCTGGTGCCCACAAGGACTCTCCAGAACGTCTCGCAAGTGATAGTTTCGGTTCCCAAGACACGACTTGTATGCTGCAGTCCTGTCGTGACTACGACTGCTGTGTCAAACATCTCCCCTATGTCTATCCACGTGTAAAGGCATGTTTGTTCACCCATAATTCCACACCAGGAACCCCTTTGTGGACAACGAGACTGACCCGACCAAGTCCCAACACTGAGACAAACCAACGGCTTGATAGCGCCCTTCGTCGTGAACATGGGAATTGAAAGACGCCTCTCGCCATGCCGATAAGTGCAGAACGATCTCTCTGCGATGAGGGGCAAGTGCAGTTATCTACACGACTCTGAACAATCCCAGCCACTTCATTGCACACCGTCAGAGACGAGACAGAATGCCGTTTCCCTGGATCTCCCCGAAGCGCGCGGCGCCGCTCCAAACCAACAGGTTCTCTCCACAGCCCAGACCGACCCTGAATGCTACTGTCGATGGCATAACCAGCACTATAGCTGCCTCTTCCTTCGATGCATACTACACACATGGCTTGAGAGAAGTACCGACCTGTCTTGAAAGTCGCAGCCCAGAGACACTCGTTACGACCCCGACTGACGCTGTGGGCCACTTTGTGCGCAGCCCACGAACACAAGGGGAAGACGAGGTCCTGCGATGGCTGGCGTCTCCTGGACAGGAGACGCTGTCCCGAGTCCTCGCAGCAAGGGACGCAGCACGAGTAGAGGCGCTGTCTCGACCTGCCACGCCGCTGGAAAAGCCATCGCCTGCGCTGCCAAGGCTGCGGTTCGAGCCGCTGAGGGACATGCTCGCTGGCACGGAGCTGGAAGTGTCCCTCGCAGCCGACCTGGTCTCACCACCAGCTGCAGGTATGGGTATTGCCGAAGAGGAGAGCTTACGGAGTCGGGCCTCCATGTCAGTAGATGCTGATGAAGACGTGCGGCGCTGGAAGCCGAGACGGAAGCGGATGGGGATATCGCACCTGTATCCCGAGCTGTGCGGCAACTCTCTTGAGAACAAATTGTCTGCCACCAGTACGTTGTCCAGGTTTGCAACCCTTTACCGAGAGCCGGTGTACGACTTTGGCGATGACGAATCGGCAGAAGAGGATGACTACTTCTATGAAGACATGGCCTCCAGGGATGTAGACAGTCATGAGTGGAACGACGAACATGATTCCTATTCACCTAGCCTTCCCCGTGTTATCTCGAATGGGACCATCGTTGGCGATGACGCCGGTGACGGCCAGGTACTCCCGCTAGCATCCGCTCTGGTCACGCGTGCCAACGTTGTCGAAATCACACATGGCATTCCGAGGCTCGTTCGCCAAAATGCGACCCTAGGACAGGAGATTCCTGTGACAGCGGGCCATCCCGCTCGAGGCCGAGTCGTTTGCGTTGAGAATCGCAAGGTAGGCCCCGAGAGTGAAGGCGAGCTACGGGTCGAGACTGACGAGCGTGAGCGCAGCGACAGAGAGCACCGAGATGTGGAACGTGAACATGACATGACGCGCAGCGACAGCTGGTGGTTTGACGAGGAGAATACAATGGCAGTGCCCGCCGAGGGTGTGTCGAATGTGATCATCATGACGACGCCTCCTACACCACTGGGACAGTCGGCCTGGGACTCTTCTTCATCCGATGACGATTCTGATGGCAGTACCTGGATCGAAGATACAGCAGAGACTCACACAGAAGACAGCGGCGTCAACGCCTGGCGTGAAGCCGAGGGGTACACCAAGCAGGGGCAGTCCATCACCGTCTCTCTGCGCACATCGCAGCACGAAAGACGAAACCTCAGTATTCCTACCCAAAGCCACGGTCCTGCAACTCAAGCAGCCCCCCTCTCCCCAGCGACCCCCGTCGCACCCCCTTTCTCCTCGTTACGAGAAGAGTCAATCGCACTCCTCCTGCAAACCTTCTCCCTACCCCCCTCCACCTCCTTCACAACCCTCCAGTCCCATCTCGCCTGCAACACCTCCCTCCTCCACGCCCTCCTCCTCGGCACAGTCCCAGCCCCCTTTCTGCCCGGCAGAGAGCTCAACGACAGCGGGCCGACGGCGACGATGGACATTTGCATCGTCCGAGAACGCTTCACCTCGGCCTCGATCCCCGCGCTGACAGCCTTCCTCTCCGTAGACTGGGACCCCGCAGCCCTGGGCGGCGGCACCCTCGCCCTCGTGGCCAGCGCGTTCCGCGAAGCCATCGACCGCGCGAGCGCCGGCGCCGGACGGACGGCCCTGGTACGCTGCGCCGCGGAGCTGCGCAAGACGTCGCGGGCGGCGATGCGGGCGGCGGGCCGGTTGGACGACAGGCTGCTCGTGCGGCTGGGGCGGGTTGTCGGGCTGGACGAGGTGGCGGCGTGCGCGGACCTCGGGGATGTGATCCGTGCCGGCCGGGCCGAGGAGTTTGTCGGGCTTGTCGAGGAGGGGAGGGTGACGCGGGGCGAGGGGGGCGAGTTGGCACGCAGGGGGGCGGTTTTGGAGTTGATGGGGATTCGGAAGGCGGAGCATGCGTAGACGAGGGTCGAGAGGAGGAGAGCCGGGGTGCGCGAGTGGAGGAAGGTGAGGTTTGTACAAGTCGTCGGCGAGGAGAGGATGCTCGGCGGCGGGGTCGTATGATATCAAGTGCAAATTCTTGCGACCAAAGTGTGTCTTTGGTTGTCAAGGTATATAGGGATGAGCAAGAGAACACTAAACCAATACGATAAGTCATGATCAAGATGGCATACGCATCACGCTGGGTATCATTCTCACCACCTTCATCCATCTGATCTAACAAAAAAAAAAAAGAAATCAAGAAAGCTACCCCAAAAGGCAAGAAAGAGGACCGTGAGCGCCAGCCGCTACAAATGCATCCAACCATTCGGCGCCAGAAAATGAGCCTCGTTAATCAAACACGCGCGTCCTGGCTCGTCACGGTCCTGCTCCTCGGCCTTCCACTGCGCCAACCTGTCGTCGACCCGCCGGTCTGTGAACCGCGTGCTTGTGAACCAGCCCAACAAGCGGTTCACAGTCCGGCCGCGGCCGATTGCCCAGCCGCTGAGCCAGCTGCGGCCTGGCCCAGGGTGCGTAGCGGCATACGCCATGACGTTGTAGCCCACCCGAACCCTCGGGTTCAGGTAGACGCCAAGGTCCGCCGAAAGGGGATTGTCGGCGTGGATGAGGCAGCACTCCGAAGCCTCGAGGTGCAGTTGCGCCAGGGAGTCGGGAATAGCGCGGAACCGTAGCCGTTTGGACTCGATGGGGGAGGTGAAGGGCGCCGCCGGCATGGCGACGATGCCGTTCCAGCAGCTCGTCACAGGCACGGCGTCGGCGTGCGCTAGAACCGCATTGCGGCTTGCCGTCGCTCGGAAGTATGGCCACGTCGGCGTCAGGTGGGCATGACCGTTGGCGTCTCGCAGCGCAAAGGTATCGTAGAACAAGGGGGGATCGGAAAAGTCGAGCGAGCATGCGGCCGCGTAGACGCCGCGGTTCGTGTCGAGCAGAGTCAATGCGTCTTCGGGCTGCTCCAGTCAGTACACTTCTTGTCTTGGCCTGCTTTTTTTTTTTTTTGGGCGAGAACCATGTTAACTGACCGTAAACAAGACATCGTTCAGAAACAGCACCTTATCGAATTTGAACCCCTTCTCGTGGAGGTCGTCGAGGTCGCGCAGCGCCGAGTTTCTCAAGTTGGCCAGGAAAGGTATCCGTCTCATCTCTGGCTTGGCTCCCTTGGACGGCACAATCCAACCCTCGGGCAGGCCCGCCCCCTGAGCGGGCCTGTTGGCCTCGAGCTCGTCCTGGTGCGTGACGTTGCTGGTGATGACGCTTCTGGGCACGCCGCGGACCTCAAGCTCGGCGTCGAGCTCGGCGAGGGCGGCCTTGGTGTCATCCCAGCTGCCGCTCTCATGAACGTTGACGAAGACGTTGGCGCGACCGAGGCGTTCGACGAGGGCAAGAAGAGCCGGATTCCACTGCTGCCGAAGCAGGGGAGCGTCGTTGTAGTGCAGAGCGGCTATGTAGACACGTTCGTGCTTGCGGGGGGTGTCGAACGCGTGCGGCACGAGGTCATGGCGGGCTATTCGGTTCTGGAGGCGCAGCGTATCGAAGAAGGTGACGAGGGCGAAGAGGAGGAGGCCCAGGCGGACAGAATTGCTTCGGAGGAGGCGGCGGGCGGCGAGGCGGCTGCCCATGGTGGGTGGTAGTTGAGGCCAATGGCCAAAATACTGTGCCGGGGAGCAGAATCAAGTCAAGGCCAACAGCCCCAGCAGAGTCAGGGTCGGTTCTGGAGAGGGAAGATGGTTGTAAAGAATGACGACGTGAGGGTGAGATGGGCGACTCGAGGGTGGTGATTTCCTCCTCCACCGTTCAATTGCCGAGCGTTGAGCCGCTCCCTTGGCAGGAGACGTGGGCAGCGTGTGGGCAGCGTGTGGGCAGCGTGTGAATGTGTCGACAGCTTCTAGCCAGTAGAGGTGTCTAGGTTTCCAGAGCAGGTAGCACCCCACAAGGGATCGAAATCGTCGAGTTCAGAAGAGGCTCTCCGAATTGGCATTATCCATGACTTGCGTGTTGGCGCTCTCTGTAAGAGGGGATGGCGGTTGGGTTCAATGTGCACGCGCGAGGCAATGCGAAACCTAGAGATGGTGACACGATTTCCATAGTTCAAGGTTGAGCAGGCCGAGCACCGCCTTGGCCACAGGTGGAAGCTTTCTTCGCCTTGGTGGGGTCCAAGGGATACAGGCAAGACAACTGCATCTGCAAGGTACCCTTCCGTTACGTACCGAAGGTACCTTACCTAAGGTAGGTACATGTAGCTACCTACCTAGGTAGCTAGGGAGGTAGCTAGGGGTGAGTACCAGGTGCGGCGGCGGACACTGGAAACCCTCAACGTCGCCCTCCACCGAACCCGAAACATTCATGACCCTTGTACGGACAGATGCCCCCACCACTGGCCTATCAACCTCCACAGCGCGCGAGACACATGATGCAGATGCTATCACCAATGCGAACACGGCTAACTCATTGATTCCATCATTCTTCAAAGTTCATCATTTTTTCTTTCAGCTAGTCTTACATGAGAAAAAGGCCTCCTCCAGATAGCGAGGCCATGAGGGCGATCTATTTCACTCGTTCACCCATCTATGGCTTCGTAACACCCAGCCAGCCCATCTCTGAGGCACCTCGCGATGCACACAGTTGTTGCGCAACCGCGTGTGTACTGCGTGGCTTCTGGCGCGATCCATGAAAGCAGCTTCATCAACAGAGGGCTTGCTTCAGGACCACCCCCGACGCTATAGCGTCGGCCTCGAGTGACGATACAATCGCCCTTTATTTGGCAAAGTGCAGGTCGTAGCCGAGCCACTTGCGCCGCACCACCTGGTCGACCGACAGGCCGGGGTAGCCGTACGTCAGGGGCAGGAAAAACCACCAGCCCGCGACGGCGAGGGCGAGTACCACGGTGGCCGCGATCCACGCGCCCGCCATGCTCTGTCCGCCGAGACGCTCACGCGCCGTGAGGTGTCGCTTCGGCGCGTCCTCGACCTTCTTCGTCTTCTTGTCCTCGCCGACGGGCTCCGCCAGGAAGATGAACTCGAGGAGGGCACCGGCCACGAGACACGACGCCAGGTGTGCCGGCAGGTAGTGGTGCAGGAACAGCTGGCGGCCCATGAGGTAGAAGGGGAAGTAGTGCGTCGCCCACGCGAGGAAGAAGAAGCCCGTCGAGTTGTAGAGACGGTTGCGGGAGCCTAGAGATCCAGTCAGTACGACGGTCATGTCATGGGACGGAAGGTGTGTCACTCACGGCGGTCCAGAGCGTCGATGCCACGGCGCAGAGACACCTGATCGGCGCCAATGATGCCGACAAACACCGCGAGAAGACTGCTGGCAATCCACCAGCCCACCGGGTTGCCCAGGAAGTAGATCTGCTGGCGCGTGTCGTTCTTGGTCCAGAAGCTCACGCCGCGGAGTAGGAAGGGCCACTGGTATGGGTGGCTCGAGTACGGGTGGCTGCTGGTCAGCTGGTTGTTGTGCCAGAACATGGCGCGCTGCAGCTCGAACCACTTCTTGAGGAATGGCATCGTCTTGACCTTCTTCTCGGGCTTGGCACGGCGCGCATCGTCCTCGGGGAGCGACGGGATGTCCTCGACGAACCAGACGTTGGACGCCGCCGTGAGCTGCTTGTTGCCGTTGATCTCCTGCTGTTTGTGGCCCCAGTCTGGCAGCGCCTTCGAGTGTGTCCACATGGCTACCTTGCTGGGGTTGTGGATCAGCTTGAAGTGGCCCGACACGCTCTTGAACGACTGCTTCTTCTTGCCGTGCTCGATGCGGATCTCAAAGACCGTGTCCTTGGCGCGGGCACCGAGGGCCTCCTCGACGGTGACGGCGGTGAACTCCTGATTGGTGGGGTACGAGGGAGACGCAACATCGTGCGAGAGCAGGATCATGTCAGTCACCGTGTGCCGCAGACGAACGAGGTCGTGGTTCCTGACGACACGGCCAGCGGTCTCTTCTCCCTCCAAGGGGAGGATCTGCCAGTAGTTGTTCGTGTCGTTAAAGGGATAGCCTGTAATCTGCTGGCCCTGGCTCGACACACGACCGTCGTCGTACCTGAGAGGATAGCGGTCAGGGTGGCTGTGCAGGTACGTCTTTGTCTCCTTGTGGCGGATGGTGAGCGAGTCGTAGTAGTTGATTTCCAGCGAGTTGGCAAGCATGACGTTGTCGCTGAGGGTTTCCTGGAACTCGGGCGACATGAAGTCGTCACCGGGGCCGGATCGGTTGAGGATGGCAAAGTGGACCTGGAACCAGAAGAGGTAGAAGAGGAAGGGCATGACGATGAGGCCAAAGGCACGGGCGAGGAAGTGCTTGGTGAAGTCGGGCAGGCTCAGCGCACCGCCGGGCCTCTTGACGTCGAGAAGCTCCCACAGGTCAATGGCGACCGCCGAGCCGATGGTGACAAAGGCGAAGAGACCCACGTACTTGACAGAGATGTCAGCCGAGAGCGCGAAGCCCGTGAGGATAAGCCACTTCCACCACTTGCGGGAGAAGGGCTCGTGGCGCAGCTTGTGGAATTTGATATAGCAGAGCAAGCTGCAGGCCATGGCGAAGACGAGAGTGGCGTCGAGCAGAATGAGACGGGTCTGACCGATGTGAGCGTTGTCAAGAAGGACAAGGCCGGCGGCGAGCAGACAGGCAGGAAGACTGTAGCCAGACTCCCACATTATGAGGTAGGTCACAGTAACAGTGAGAGCGCCGAGGATAGCGGGAAGGGCTCGGAAGGCAACGTAGGGAATCTTGTTGGTGATGTACGAGTCACCGATGTTGTCAAAGTGGAAGTGACCATCGTATCCCACAAGCCATCCCATAAAGGCAAACAGGAGCTTTCCGAAGGGAGGGTGCACGTCGAAGAAGTAGGTACGCTCGAGGTAGTAAGAGGCAAACTGATCACCAGAGCTTTGGTCAGAAAGGGCTCATCGACACGAAAAATACGCAAGTGTCGGAAGGGCACGCCAACATACCTTGCCGAAGTGAACCTCGTCGAATACTACCTCGTTCGGGTGGCTGATGCCCCAGAATCTGGTGACGAATGCCAAAAGGGTGGTGATGGCAAGTCCAACACCATACTCGGTCTCTGAGGGCTTCTTGAGGGAGCGCGCAACAGACTTGGCTTTGGCCTTGGCCTTGACCTTGACCTCAGGCTCGCTATCCGAGGCCACAGGCGACTTCTTCGAAGCCGGGTTGCGCTGACGGACGCTGCCCTGCGGGGTGGCAGTCGTCGACGCCATGGTGAATGGAGAAGAAAGAGAGAAAGAAAAAAGAAGCTGCAGGAGTGTCAGTCCAGCTGCAGAACGAAAGGTGATGCAGCAGCGATGGACAAAGTCTCCCGTCTCTGCTGAAGTAAACGCGAACGTCTTGGGTCCAGCTTGTCAAAGGACAGGTAGCTTCACGGGCCCACCAATAAATTCAGGGGAGATACAATGGGCTGGAATGGTTAGACATACTGTATGGATGCGCTTGGCTACACTGGTAAAGTGGAACCGTGTCGACCAACGTCACCGTCGAATGATGGCGATCGTTCCGTCGATACGAAAGGAGTGACTGGAAAAACACACAGAGGTGTGAATAAGAGGAGAAAAGTGCTAACAGACTCAACGAGCTCGAGATGGTCCTCGATGCACCCTCTAGCTGGTCGAGAACCCGAGTGTAAGATTTGTCCTTCGCTGGTCTAGCCCCGTCGCGGGCCTGCTACTGGCTTCAGGGGATCAACAGGGATACCCACCAGGAGGATGCGCCAAGGGGGTCCTCCCTAGCTGAGTTCAGTGGGTTGTCGAGGGATCACGGGACTTTCGATAAGGGATGCGATAAGCCGACTGGGACACACCTGGACTGCAGTTGGGACCATGCCAGAATACCGCCTCTTCTTGCAGGTATTGAAATTGAAATTGAAATTAAATGTGTGTGAAGCATAGAAACCAGTGCTGTAATAGCTGGTGCCAAGGCCGGATTGGAGCTCAAGATTATGTTGGGCCTCGATCTGTTGTTTGAATTGGGGGTCGGTGAACCATAGTCGGTGTAGGCATCGCGCTCTTCGGTGAGGCTGCGCGTGAGAGTCATTCGCCTGGGGCCGTGGATATCCGCCCGCCGATGAACGGAGGCTCTCGGCGGGGTTGTCCTCCTGGTCACTCAACCTATTGGATCATCCACATCCGACATTCTACTCCCCGCGATACGTTCTTATTAGCGACGCCATTGCAAACGACCCCTCACCCGGAATTGATCTTCTCCATGTCCTCATTCCTCACCAGATCACTTCTCACCCATACTACGCCTCGAGCACTTCGACGCCTCACGCCTAGCCTACAACTCATTGCCAATCGCCAAAGAATTTCACGACGGAACAGTACAATGTCTGGCGCCGTTAATGTCTACACGAAGGACGCCCCCTTCCGTACGCCCGTTGCCCACCTCATGATCGGTGAATAGCTGAGCTGACATCCTGATAGCCCTGGGCCCTTACGTATGCTCCGATACATTCTACAATGACCACTGTGCCTGATATTGATTACGTTTTGCAGTCCCAGGCCGTCAAGACCCCCACGGCCATCTACCTGTCCGGCTCTATCCCCCTGACCGCCGACGGCAAGTTCGTTGAGGGCACCATCGCCGAGAAGACGAGACAGTGCATCCTCAACCTCAAGGCCATTGTTGAGGAGGCTGGCTCGTCCGTCGAGAAGATCGTCAAGGTCAACATCTTCCTTGCTGACATGGACAACTTCGCTGTATGTAGCCTTACAGCCCAACCTGAAAGTTCAACTGCCCGGACACCATTACTGACCGACCCAGGAAATGAACGGCGAGTACGAGAAGTGGTTCTCCCACAAGCCTGCCCGCAGCTGCGTTGCTGTTAAGACGCTTCCCAAGAACGTTGACGTCGAGATCGAGGCTATTGCTCTGCCGTAAGCTGGGGTCTCGCGCCGAATGACATCTGGCAGACTAAGCGTCATTGTAGTGCGGATACTGAATCGCATCCTCGCCTTTGAATGCAAGTGATGCTTGCTGTAGTCTTACGCCAGTTTAAACAACGTACGCCAACTCAGGAGCACAGAGTTCAAAATCCTCTTAAGCTACTCAATTCGAGTGAATATGTCTGACGTACTTTAAGTGTCGACGGTCCCTGGCTGGGGGCTGAAGCTGTTCATGCCGTCCATGTGAACGAAGGCCGAACAATGGCTACTAGGACACCTGCTTGGGACATCGCATGCACATTTGGAGGTCATGTCACTGACTATGCGGACGACGCCAGAATTGCGTAGTGATGATAGTGAACCAACACCCATTAGATGCAACACAGCAATCGTGCCAACAACGCAATAAGCGCAAGAAACCGAATGGATATGCAGCAACGTGCTCTATGTTCTACACCCCTCCTTATCGGTACACTTCCTCCAGCCAGTCCATAGGTAGTCCCCGTATCTCATGGTCAGGTCTCCTCTGGGCGTCCAATCGTTCAGTTTGGGAATCCTTTACTCTTCGTCATCCTCGGCGGCCTCAGCGTAGCGCTCACGAATGTCCTTCCATTGGCGCTGCGATAGGTTAGCAAATATGTAACCTGTGTGTCGATTCGAGATATCTTACACCGCGGTTGAGGTGGTCCCAGTACTTGTTGGTGAGCGAGTTGAAGCCCCTACACAATGTCAGTCGTCGTGAACTGCCGTCATGCGTGCCAGATGGCTAGGTAGAGGGTTTGTGCCTACATCTCGAAGGCAAAGCCGGCACCGAAGACGAAGCCGAGCATGGCGAAGTTCTGCTTGAAGAACGCACTGCCGGAAAATTCAGTCAGCATCCTGTACAATTGCGCCCGTGAATGTGTCGATGTAGCAAGCCCTCCAAGCTCAGTCGTGTCGGGTATCTTCCATCCCGTGCAGTCTCTGATTCCCAGGTTCTTTCTTCATCCAACCCATGATCTCTGTGGATCCATCCCTCGTGTCGCTGCTCGTCGAAAGTTCAAGGGTAAGGCTAGACTTGCGTGTAGAGAGACTTGGTGAGGCCGGCCTGTAGTTAAGGGTGCGCGATTAGCCGATTGGCAATTGAGAGACGGGGACGGGTCGCAACGGTGCCTGAAGCCTACCATTTTGAAAGTGTTGAGCGGCGAAGCGCGTTCGATGGGGTGTCGGGCTGGGTAGTCGGGGGTCGGACGTGTCGGCGATGCGGTCGGTTCAGGTGCTGAAGGGTGAGCTGAGGTCCAAGTCGACGTTCCTGACGAAATTCGTGATGATCCGAAATCTTGCCGGGACCAATTGGGTGGACGGTCATTGGTCGGCCGGTGGTATCCACTCTTCAATGTGGGAGTACAGGCGAACCCCACGAACAGCGACTGTATTGGCCTCGACCTTGACCTTGTTGAAAGGACTTGCCGTTTTCACGTTGTCTTACGAGTTAGATATGCCTATTTCGTTTCGAGCAGGGGTTTTCTCACCCATAGTTTTCGTGTTTCTTGGATTTAAGCACTCAAACAGTTGCAGGCCTGTCTGCTCACACGGTGCCATCACCCCATGCGTGAAATATGGAAACTCACTCGGCTTTCAGCTTACTTCCAAGTCGCTTGTTGAGTACATGGTAGAGTGATGCCTTGTATACGTTGATGGCATACACTCACCAAGTCTGTCGCCCAGACCGGAAGGCGCCCAAGCCACACTGTCCAGCTTGCCTGGTTGAAGGTTACAGTGCAGCAGACCGGCATGATCACCATGTTGGAAATACTTCTTTGCACTTTCAGTAGTACACGTACTTTCCCCCATCTATTTGTATCAAACTTTCCCAGAACTGCATTAATCCAGACGCCGTGATCATGACCATCCGAGACCTTAATGAAAGACGCCGGGAAAGCGGGGAGGAATCGTACTGGTCTGTGCATGGTCCTCTGCGGGGCATTTTCCTTTGCGCAACAGCTGCGAAATGCGACTCGCACAGCGAAGCCTAACCTCCGCACCGCCAAAAACGAACGAGAATTCGCTCTGCGACGCCCGGCTTCAAGCTGCGGAAGCCCGGCTGAACTTCCCTACCCAGAGCCTCGACCCTTAATCCATCCAAACGCTGTGGACTCCGGTTCATTTTGATTCTACGACTGTGATTACCATCCCCGCCAACATATCGGCGCGACCAAACACGCGACTACTTCCCAAGTCTAGTTTCTCATTTTACACATACGAGCCTGATCTACGAGCTGAACACCCGAAAATGGCTGGCGAGAAGAAAAAGGGCCAGCCCAGCAATGCCGGAATCATCACCGACAAGGGCGGCGAGCGCTTCATCCCCGAGTCTCAGCGTGCCGATGGCAGCACCCGCAAGGCCATCAAGATCCGCCCCGGTTTCCGCCCTACCGAAGATGTCGAGGTCTACAAGAGCCGGGCAGCCGAGGCTCGCGCCGCGCGCGGCGTCCCGGGGACCGTCGGTCTGAGCGATGACAAGGCCGATGGCTCAGCCGCAAGCGCCAAGAATGCGAAGCGGCGCGAGGCACGGAAGAAGGCCAAAGCGGAAGCCGACGATGGCGACGACGGCGTGACCGAGAAGAAGAACGCGGAACCGCCGAAGGAAGTCGTCGATGAGGTCGATCCTGAGGTGGAACGTGCCAAGAAGGCGAGGGCACTCAAAAAGAAGCTGCGACAGGCAAAGGAGTTGCAGACCAAGAAGGAGGGCGGCGAGGCACTGCTACCGGAGCAGATCGCCAAGGTCATCAAGATTAACGAACTTGTACGGGAACTGGAAGCACTTGGTTTCGATGCCGATGGCGAGCCTAAGAATGGCGTCTTGCCAGAAGAGGAGAAGCCCGAGGAGAAAGTCGGGGAGAAAGTCGAGGAGAAGGCCCAGGGCTGATTGACTTTCTGATTCCTACGCGCCAAAGTATCGAGTCAAACAGCATGACAGCACACGTTCTGCTTCGCACGCTTCGCATGCTTCGCTCGCTGGCCGAATCCTCTCACGCCTGCAGGCCTCACCACGGGTCATACTAAGTTATGCCAGGTCATGCAAAGCCTGGGCTGTATGTGCCACATGCCAGTCTCTGACAGAAATCGACACGACGAGCTTGCCTCCCAGAAGGTGGCGACGGTAAGATGATACTGCGCATCCTCGAGCGCGATGCTGCGGGGGCTTATGAAGTCAGTGTCTTCGTACAAATTTGGGAGGTAGATGAGGGCAACCCGTTGAGCTCATTCGGTCGATTGTCACTTCATGAGATCTAAGTAGAACCTTCTGTTCGCGGCTTGCTGGAATGCAAGCATTGTGCCAGTATCAGCGCGCGACGGCTATAATAGCTGTGCTGCTGAGGCCTATAGAGGCCGCACTCCCAAAATACACTCCATGTTGTTTCCATGTTCCAGATCATGCAATTGTTAGTCCAACCGAATCGTACATGGATTAGCCAATACGAGAAGGAAACATTTGATACTCCGAAGATCCTGTTTCACATGCTGATCGTTTTCCAGTCTGTCCGTGTCATGTCGACATCTTGAACAGGAGGTGAGTAGCCTGTGGTGAATTCGATCGCTCTGGGGATTGGGCCACTGCCCGCGGCTCTCAGTAGGTAGTGAAACGGACGGCGTGGAGTAGGCGAAGAGTCGGGGCCTGAATCCTTTCACGTGCTGACAAGGCGCCTAAAAAGAGCTGGAGTGGAGTCTTCAAAGCTGAAGCTTAGCGGATCCAGTGGCGATGATGGCTAGCGGCAGCAGGGCTCAGAGCTCAAGGGGCCGCCCCCAGTCAAGCCAGTGTCTGGCGCGAGCGCCCACTCACGGCCCGGCTGTCCAATGCTCAGTGGGGGCGAGAGCTACGAAACACGCAGGGTCTGGGTTATGCTGACGTTTCCCTTTCGTGCCTCAAGAACAGGTAGCAGTGCCAATTTCCAAACCCCAGTAGCTTCAACTTCATCACCACCCTGTCCATCTACCAACGCGGGCACATCCAATCTACCTGGCCCGTTTGTTGTTCAAGTCTTTGCGACATCATACCTATTCGCTATTGCTCTCCTCCGACCCTACGTGCCCTCTGGATGATCACGACCGTCCTCCCGACCAGTGCGACAAGATGAGGATCTGGGGCAGGGGTGCAGCCTCATGGCGCACTCTATTGTTCGTTCTGTCATGGACAACGACGACATTGGCAAAGGATGATGGACCTACAATCAAGGCGTCCAAGTTCAAGCACCCGCCGCTGAACATGAATTACTTCGAAGACTCAGACGTGGTACTGTTTCATGACATGTCCGAGAACAACATTTATCGATCCGACGATGCTGGAGTCTCTTGGGGAAAAGTCGCAGGCGTTCCTGATGGCGTCGCGTATACCCTGGCCATGCACGAGTTTGATAACAGCCGGGCCTTCATCATCACCGACCGCAGAGAACACTTCAAGACCACCGACCGTGGCAAGTCCTGGGAGAAATTTGACAGCGCCGCCCAGACGAGCCGATACCGAGACCAGATCCTCAGCTTTCACGCCGGTGATCCCGATCGCGTGATCTTCAACGGCATGGATTGTGCAGGCATATTCTGTAACGAAGTGGCCACGTACACAACCAACAATTTCAAGGAGGCGAAGACACTCAGGGGCTCGACCGAGGGCTGCTGGTGGGCCAAGTCCTCCGAGCTGTTCACCACTGGCAAGGACGATCTCGACCGCCAGCGCGTCCTCTGCATCGGTGCCGACTCGATTTCGCCTTTCAAGGAGGATCAGCGACTGTTCATCTCGGACAACTTTTTCGAGAAGATCGACGGCAAGGTACAACAATTTGAGCCGAACCTGGATACGAATCACGGCATTCAGGGAGTCGTCAACCTGGCCGTCGTCAAGAAGTACTTGCTGGTTGCCACAACATCGCTCAACACAGACGAAATGTCTCTCTTTGTCACCGACGACACTCTCAAGTGGCACCGCGCCATGTTTCCGGCGGCGCACGGCCACAAGGTCAACCAGGGCGCCTACACTGTCCTCGAGGGCACCAACTACAGCATCCAGGTCGATGTCATGAACACCCGTCCTTCAAACCCCATGGGTGTTATGTTCACGAGCAACTCTAATGGCACCTACTTTGTCGAGAACCTCGAGCACACGAACCGTAACGAGAGGGGCAATGTCGACTTTGAAAAGATCTCGGGCATCCAGGGCATATTCCTCGTCAACACCGTCAAGAACTGGGAGGACGTTGAGAAGCACGGCGGCAGCAGGAAAGAAGTTGTCACTCAAATCACGTTTGATGACGGCAGGACTTTCCACGATATCAAGGCTGGCGACGATCGAGTCCACTTACATTCAGTGACTCACCTTGACAATGTCGGTCGGGTCTTCTCGAGCCCTGCACCAGGCCTCGTCATGGGCGTTGGCAACACGGGTGGCTCGTTGAATGATTTCGAAGAGGGAAACCTGTTCGTCTCGGATGACGCCGGTGCCTCCTGGAAGAAGGCTCTGGACGGCCCTCACAAGTACGAGTTTGGTGATCAAGGTTCGCTACTAGTAGCTGTCAAGGACTCCAAGAAAGACGACGTCGGCGAGGTTAGCTACTCCTTGGATCACGGTCTCAACTGGAAGACAGCGGCGCTTCCTGATGGCCTCAAGCTCAAGCCTGAGATCATCACAACCACCCAGGACTCCACTAGCCTCAAGTTCATCCTTGTCGGGTCCTCTGGAGGTGACAACTACCATGTTGTAGCCCTCGACTTCGGGGGCCTGCAGGAGAAGACTTGCGAGGACAATGACATGGAAGACTGGCCAGCCAGGGTGGACAAGGATGGCAAGGCCATCTGCGTCATGGGACACAAACAGACATATCGCCGTCGCAAGAAGGACGCCGAT